GCTTTAATCTGGAATAGCTGAGGAAAACTGCATAAGAAAACTCGGTGAGGGCAGCTGACACGTTGATTTATTATATAAATAAGCAATTATGGCAGAACCAGTCAGTGATATTAACTATATAAGCAGTTTGGCCAAGTGGGTGATCTAATTCTTTAACATCTGTTAAAATATTCCTCTGTTTCAATGTGAAAAGTGGGCTGAAATAAAAAATGCCTTCATATCACACTTTCATACACTACTGAAACAATTTACAATTTTTTACGAACAAGGGAAACGTGTGTGCATAGAAAAACATTTTTAGTTTACAAATTTATTATTATGACCAGAATCCAGTATTATATGTTCAATAATTCAATATGTTATTAACCTGTTTGTAAATACATAACTGTATATATATATATAAGCAACTAGGAAACGAAATCACATTACAAAACATGACATTTAATGTGTTATACATGAAAAAAAATGTTCATTTTAACAATTATTTTAATATTTGTATGTTTGCTTATTATTAGATTTCATTCTGTAATTCATATGCTGATATCTTCTGACAAAAATTTCTAACTAAATATTGTATTACGAAAGTAAATTCAGTATTTTATATTACTTTGTATCACAAAAGAAAAATATGAAAGAAATGTAAACGTTATTGATGAACATGACGTTAGAGCTGCTATTGTGCCAGTATGCCCCACAACTCTGCAGTTAGCTAATTGAATTTTCACGTTACTTGAGGCTTCGAACCTTTTTCAGTTCCCTGTAAACTGAAGGTTGTTGAACTGCAACAAGCAAAAATACCAATCATTTAAAAATTGTTCTATAAAAACCGGGTTAGCCGTATGAGAGATGTTACATTACACCATGATATCAACATATCAGAGGAAAATACAGTCTTTTAAGGCCCCAAAGAACAATATCGACAAATCATTATGATTTTGAATTCATGGAATTGCTCATCTCTATTATAAGGATAGGAAGCGGAGCACAAAGTATTCAGACATTATACTGGACCTGCAGTGAATGAACCATAGAATTAGTACCAAGTCATATAACACGCATACTTAACTGTATGGATCAAATGAGATCATTTCTAATTTATCAGCAAGTCTTTCTCTAATGCGTATCATCTTGTGGCCACTTACAGCACTCTCCATCAAAACCATAATCATCCTTAAACACACAAGATAATCATTAAATATGGTTCACACGCAGACTTCTTGAATAAAGTATTCTAACCGCTGGCAGTTAAAATGTACTGGAGATTCCTACTACAGTTTGAACCTAAAAGTATAATTTAGCATGGTGAAACAAAATTAATTATGATTAAAGACTAAAATTTATTGGATTAAAATATGTTTTCAAACAACACTTTCATGAACTGCACTTCACTACCAACTATCATCATCTGAAAAAGAGGTTATGTGAAGAAAGTATTTAACATAAAACATGAATCTTTTCTAAGATAGAAACTTTGGTTATAATAGTTATTTATTGATCAAAAACTTATCACATACTGTATAAAACATGCAACAAGCTTCTTCTGCACACATTTCTTCCATCAAGTCTGTATGATTCATTATACGCAAGTTCACTTCACAGTCGTGTTATCTGAAGCAGCAGTCTTTGATATCCAGTCTGTTATAAAATTACAATGTGTGTATGTATTTTACAAAGGAAAGCTTATGCCTTACTGAGAACCAGTTTGATGTACTGACAGCATCACACAACAGTAATAAACAATGGATTCCATAATTTATTTTTAAATTTCCTACATCTGAGTCTAGTACAACTGTAAAGATAATGAAATCTACATCCTAAAGAAACTACATTACACATAACTTAAACATACTTGCTCTTGGTTTTCTTCAGTAATATGTTTGTTACAAACATATTTTGGTTCACAATTTACCTGCAAGAAAATGAAAACATAATTCTGGTTTGTGTTATTAATGTAAATTACACGGGAATCACATTGTGTAACACTCCCAGTAAGAAATGAAAGTTTATTTTCAATAGCAGATGACAGTTTCAATTCACAATAAGATGATTTATTTTGACAAACATCTTTAATTATGTTGACGAATCTGTAAAGTACACATAATTAATAGCAGCTTGATAATTACAATGGGAATTGTGAAATTTATTAAGAAATAATTATATGGAATTTATTGGTTATATAAAAAATAAGTTGTCATACATCTATGTTTCTTTACTATAACTTGTTTGTATACTTTGTTACAAATCCTATTTAACTAGGTTCCATTTTATACCATACTAAGGCCTATTCATAGTTGCTGACCTTAACTATTAAATATTGTATAAAGTGAAGTGAAAATATTGTCGATAAGTAATTTTTGGATAAAGGTATGCTTAAAGTTTAAATGAGGTAATCTTTTAGTTTGTTGGTATTCTTCAAGAGTTAGGTTATGTGTAATTATTGTTGTATCTTTCATCATTATGCTTAGTAATTCTGCTAATCGTCTACGTATTTGAAAAGTATCGACAATACACATGCAAAAAATAGTTTATTAATGCATAAATAAATACATATAAGTGCAGACAGTTTACGTACGCTCTAAACAACATACATGCCACCCAAAACATACAAGCAGCCTGTTCACTGCTTGTGTGATCGGCGTCGGTGTTCATTTTACATTGCGCATGACATTTTGGTTCGAATCATAGGAGCTGTGATCAAATATAATGATTGCGGAAAAAGTCTAGGTGTAAAGATGTTTTCTAAATCGTTAAAAATGCTTTAGAACTTTTTGTACCTTTGTATTAAATTCCATTACGACACCGAACCGTGTAATTATTTCGCAGTTATGTTTTTACACGTTTAAAGACAAGTTTACGAAGGTATTGGTGAGTAACTGCTGAACTGTTCAAGGAAAATCTGAAGGCCATTTGACATGGTGGTATAGATCGGACTGTCAGAAGAAATAGTAATTAAGGTTATTTTCATTAATGAAGCTTTTATAGTCGATTTACCATGAACCGTTTGGGACCGTTCTTTCTCTTGCTTGTGATTTGCAGTGAATTATATGCATCAGAGTTCTTCATTAAGAATACAACTGAAGGTAACACATTACTTGAATCCTTAAGTTAGATGTCAATAGCATGTGGAATAAGCCATAAAAATACAATATGTGAAAACATTTTTATTAATGAGAACTGTATTCACATGGAAGAAGCAAGATCGCTAATCTCTTAACTAGACTTCTACATGAATTTCTAGGTTTGACACCACCCATTATTTTAAGTTTTATTTTGTAAAGTGAATATCTTTTGCTGTTAGATGAATTACCTTCAGAAACTATTCCATACTTCATTCTACAGTGAAAATAGGCAAAATAAACTGATTTGAGAGTGTCAGTGTTGCTGACATGAAACATAACCTAACTGCATAACATGCTCCACTTAACTTCAGAACCATTTTATCAATATGAGTTTTTCAGTCCAGGCACATATTGTGGTGAATTATTTGTTATAAATTTAATTTTCTTAACACTCAGATAAATATTACTGTGCTTGATATTGTAATAGTCTAGTCTGTTAGAATAATTAAATGACTTATTTTCAGTAATTAACACAAGCAGATGTCCAGATTTCGGTGATATTGGAAAGGGAGTTATAATCCAAGAACTGATTGTTGGAGACAAGCAGGTTCTTCATATAGAATGTCAACCGGGGCATGACCTGATTGGATCACCCAAGATTTTGTGTGTTGATGGCCAATGGGAACACATACAGAAACCACAGTGTTCAAAACGTAAGTCAATTTCTAGTAACCGAATTCTTTCTGAACTAAATAAAAATATGCAGAAAGAGGTATAAGTTTCTACTAATATAAATTCATTATTCACTACAGTCATTTGTTGACATTCAGTCTGCAGGTTAACAGCTGCAGTCGGGGTGTTGGGTTATCTGGTACGAACACTGTTTACCTTTGCTGTTTGTAGCGTACTAATCATGCCCACAGTCTTGCGATATTTTTGTATGTGGTATTTGTCATATGTACAATTTCTTCATGTTTCACCGCAGTTATTAATTTGTATCACAAAAATGAATGTTGGTTGAACCTTTTCATTGCCTCACAATAAATTCATTGTCTTTTTACTGTGTAAGTAACAAATCAATTAAATATAAAATGCATTGGAAATTAAATAAAAAACTCTAGCATACAAATCGTAACCAGTATTCAAAATTATTACAGGTTGTCCTTCACCACTATTCTTGCGTAATGCAGAAGTGCGTTTGGAAGGCACACTGGCCAGCGAAGAAAGCTACCGTCAAGGGTCCCGTGCCATTTATAGTTGTGGCGAGGGATTTCGTTTGTCCCCACCTGGAAGTAAGATTCGTGTCTGCAAGGACGGATACTGGACGGGTCCTCAAGGTCGATGTGGTGAGTGGTCTTCATTTTTTTAAAGCAGCTAAAAAGAGAGATGGGCAGGGAATGGGAGAGATAAGAAATACATACAGAATTTTGGTTGGAAAGCGTAGGCATAGTTTGGAGGATAGTGTTAAACGGATCTTACAGAAACAGGAGTCAAAAGATGTGGATTAGATTAATGTGGATCAGGATAGGGGCCAGTGGAAGGCTGTTATGAACATGGTAATGCACCTTTGGATTCCATAAAAACCAGGGAATTTATTTACTAGCTGAACAACTGTTAGCTTCTCAAGAAAGACTTTACTCCATGGAGTTCGTTAGTTAGAGCATATGTCCTCTAAGTTGTGTGTTTCTTAATGAACGTTCATATTTATTGTGTAACAAGAAATGATGGAAGAATTTTGTGCCTTTACTATCACGATTCGTACTGTACTTTGTTCACGAGATAGGCCGGCTTCATTCACCTACCAGCAACCCTTGGTGGTAGGCACAGATATTATAAACTTTTTTCATCTTCTTTGGGGAAAATGGGCCTTTAAGACAGAATGTTTGTTTGTTTGTTTACAAACTTGTGAAATGCTGGTCTTCATTGTCTTGTGTCACAGTTGCGGATGGTTGCCAGATGCCCCCTGAAATTACACACGGCTACTATGTTTTGGAATCCGCTCTAGAAGAGAATCCCATAGCGCGTGTAGGTGTCGGCCAACGGGCCCATTACAACTGTAACCTCGGTTATATCCTGACAGGACCGGCTAGCCTCCAGTGCTTGGATTCAGGGGATTGGTCCCCTCGCTTGCCCCCTCATTGCACTCCCGCTAACTCAGGTAAGAATGCATTATGTCGTAACTGGGTCTATTTAAATAATTTTACTTAATTTGAGGACCGATATTAAATCATGTCGAAGGCTTGCGTAGACAAACTGATGTATGTGATTTGCATTTGTGACACATTGTAGGAATTCATCTTTAATTTAATCAAATTTGGATGTTATTTCTATGAAATGGGGCATTATGATATGGAGTGTTGCAAGAAACACATTTGTAAAGTTTGTACAGTGACCCATTGATTACCGCGTTACAAAATGTTGGTCGTGCCGCAATTCCGTGCCCCAAAAAGTGACAAAAATTGCTGCTAATAATTATACAAGTTATGAACCGGTTGTAACAGTCGTGTTTATTGTGATGTTAAACGGATTCTCCTTATTGGATTCTTTCAGAGATGGAAGAGGACGAGGAATTGACAAAAGAGGCGTTCTGCCCACCATTGCCTGCAACTCCTCACACGCGTGTCGCCACCATCCTGGGTCGACAGAACGCGAACAGGGCTGCTCCCGGAACAGAGGTGGAATTGCAGTGTGAACCGGGGTACCGCGATCCCCGCTTTCCCTGCCAGGTCTCCGTGCTCCGCTGCATACATTCCACGTGGCATGCCGTGCAGGGTGACATCCCGAAGTGCTGTACGTATTTACAAGCAGACGAAAGATTAGTCTGCGCTCTGTTCGAAATATGACGCGTATTGATGTAAAGCGGTATTGAAACAAATAAGGAGTTGTCGCCAGAACTCGGAGAGTTTACATAAGTTACGTACAGTTTTGTTATACTTCAGGTTTTGTATTTTTAATGTAAGCTAATAATTCAGTAATTTATCTTGTGGTTTAGTGTGAGCAGCTCGTACACATAGAAACATATTATTTTATTTCACCGAATTTAAATTTTTATTACTACTTGCAGTTGTAAATATGATGCAGAATGTGCTTATTACTGCTACAAAATTTTTGACGTAAGTACAGATTCAGTTTTCGAAGTTTCTCAAAAATCTGTACCTCGGTTCAGGAATTGAAAGTTGACGTGGAGACGCGTGGAATGGCGGTCTCATGAGCCTGTAATTTTTTTCTGAAGAGAAGAACGTTTCAGAGTAAAAGTAAAATTTGTCCCGCTATGTGCCGTAAAGGCTTGGGGTGAGCGGAGGTATAGCTCCTCTCTTTCTTGACCTCGGCACTAGATGGGGTATCTGCAGTGCTTTGTGCGCTGGTGCGAGGACTTTCAGTAAAATGTGCGACATCCAGGACAGTATGTGCCTTCGCTTTCTGCAGTGTTGCAACGTGGTGCTAGTAGGCGTAACTTCTGAATGCATGGCACTGAAAATGTCTTCAGAAAGCAGCGAACGTGACTTTCATTCGCTGATGAATGTCAGTAGGTGGAAACATCGCTCTTTATTCCGCAGTGGCATAGTCACCATTCCGCTGCTTCCACAGCTGTAATTCAGAGACCGAGAGAAGCAGAACTGTGAAACATTGTGCAAAAACACAAAAATGTGGGGAAATGTAAGTGATTGCGTCCAGTCAAATCCACGGAGCTATGCGCGTTTGCTTCTTAAAAGATTTTAAGCGTTAGCTTGCAATGTGCCCTTTTAATTATGGGATTTAGTGAACAAAAAACAAATGTGTTGTTCAATAAATTATGGGAGAAAAAAACAGTCACTTTAGGAAAGAATCATTCATATATTTTGCTTTAATTTTTTAACTCTGATGATGGCAGCGATGCGTTCCTTCGAAGATTTGGCCCCCACCTATGAGACTACACAGCATCACAACCCAGGAACTGCAATCTGGACCTTTACTCTGAGCCGTGTAGGAAATGACTCCCTGTAGAATTGGATATAAAACGTATAATTCTCGTGTTATTACTTTTGATTTCCCGTCGATTTCAACGGTCGGTTACTTTTGTAATATTCGTATAAAATTGCCAGTTCTGTCATTCATTGAATTAATGCATAGTTAAATCAACAAATTAAAGCAATATTTCCCATTGTATGCTGTTTTCGAATATGGATCAATGCGGTGACAATTTGTATGTACTCGCGTTTCTAGTTCCAAAGTCGATAGGGGTAGGCGCGTGCAGTAAAATATTTCATCAGGGTAAGTGGTAGAAACACGTCATTTTAAACCATTACTTAAAGTTGTCAGTCTTATTTACACTCTAGTGGTTGAATTAGGATTATAAACATTTTAAGTTACTTTATGGCGACTCCAGGTGGTCATGAGGTCTTTGACGCAAATGGTCTTTGGGCCGCTGATTCGAATTCATCCCAAGATATGGATCGTGTTTTGCGTAGGTGGATGCTTTCTGATGGTCTGATCTTTCATCCAAGGTACGCTGTCATTAGTCTCTATTAACAGTGTGGAGAATCCTTTTAGGAAAAACGAGGAGGGCCTAAACAGGGCTATGGCACCACGAAGGTTTCTGGAGCGTCTTTGGAGGCTATTACACTGGAAGACTGTAAAAAATACAGACGCAATAATTATTTTTGTTTTATGCCCCCTTTTGGAATGAGGGAGGTGACAGATGGGTACAAAGTCTTGGTTGGTAAGCTTGAAGGGTAAGAGACAGCTTGGAAGATCTAGACGTAGATGGGATGACATTATTAAAGGGAAATGATGTGTGGACTGGGTTTATTTTGCTCGGTATGGAAACCGATTGCGGGCTTTTGTGGACACGGTGATGAAACTTAGGTTTTAATAACAAGATGGGAATTTCTTGATCGGCTGAGCGACTATTAGATTGTCAATAAGGACGCTGCTCCATGAAGTTACTTGCGCGATAGCAGTTTGTCGTAATTGTGGTTTCAGTGGCTGTTGAAGGATGCGTTTCCCCTCCGAGCATTGAACACGGTTCCTTGTTTGGTCCTGCTACTAATGGGAGGTACCACGTACATGGCGAAGTGGCTTATACGTGTCAGCCCGGCTTTGTCCTGCACGGAGACCCCGTGCTAACTTGTGCCCCCAGTGGCTGCTGGGAGCCCAGTAACCTGCCGGAATGTCGTCCAGATGACCAGCCAAGTAAGTACTTGAACTTTCTTGTACCACTTTCAGAATTACAGCAAATTCCCTTTCAGAATCAGTCCTCAAGAACATCTTAAAATCATTTTGTTCAAGGACCAACTATGCAGCTTTAGTTTGTGTTTTCAAAACTTTTAATACAGTCTCTTAGACGTCTACTTACGTTAACATTTTTTAAGAAACAATAAATGTATATTATTTCGAAAGAATTACAGTCATTCAGCGAGAGTTACCAACTTATAAAAAATTCCACTTCTGCGCATGCGGCAATTGGCACCCGCCATTGGAAAACACGAGTTATAACGCCAGTGGATGTAGGCAGGAAGTGAAATGTTTGTTTCAGTTTCTCGTTACAAATTCTCGGAGACTACAGTGCGTGACGAGATTGCTCGTTTGATAGAGTTATATTTGTCTTCGTTCCACGTCGATTGTTGGCTCTTGGAGCTAATTTTTCGCCGTACCGTTCTCGATTATTCGACACCAGATGGACGTAGGGTTCCGTTGTAGGCAGCTTTCGCTGTACTACGTTATCCAAGCAGAAGGCTGAATAGCTCAGAAGGGAGTAAGCTGTCTTGCGCACGTGCTCGGTTGTGGAACACAGCACGAGACCGAGTCATTGTTACCACATGGGGTCCTTCCTGTCACTCCCAGACATTAATTTCAGTAATCACCTTATTTGTCAGTGGTAAATTACGTCATTCGCCTTATAACCTGGTCGGATATGGTTAGTGCTGCTTATGAACTGCAAATCTCAATGCACGTTAAAGTTTATTTAGCAATCGAAGCTATTTGCGACAGCTAAGATAATTCAGAATGCAAAGTACGCACGTGAAAAGCTGATTATAGCACGGTATACATTGAATTTTCCCAACCTTGTTTGTTACGAAGCTCAATTTCCTCGGGATATACAGGGTGTTCATTTTAAAACTCAATCCAAACTACAAGAGTAATTGTAAACTTCGGTGACTTCAACATTAGAAGTTTTTTTTAGTTAGAACTTACAGAGCAGCTTTAGGCCTGTCGACATTTTTCGACTCCACAGACAAAAAAAAAACTTCCAGAGTCCAGAAATTTTGTTACCACTCAGTGTATTTTTTTATTTTGTATTCCATCAGAAATATTGACATTGCCGGATGTTTCACGAAAATCAGCAAACGATTTCGATGTGAGGTAATGTTCGTACCCGCGTATCTTTGGCGCGAACTAGAGTGACCTTAACTCGAATGTGACGTGGAGTTTGGGAGAATCGGTTACACGGGGGGGTGGGGGGGGTGAACCTGCTTCTGATTTAATTTCTGTTCCGTAGCAGGCCTACGTAGGCGTATTTGTTGTTGGTTTGAGTTTTAAATGGCACACTCTGTATTTGTCTACATTCAACCCTTCAGTTTTACGTGCCGTGTATGGAATTGAATGCGTAGACCTGCCATTTTATTCATATTTATACGTGGTGTCGCAATGGACATGTTTTACAAAAGCGAACATGTTAATTCGCCAGACGTACAAGCTACCCGGCGAGCCGGTGACATGGTCCACTTTGATCGGCACACGTGCCACATTCAAGTCACGATCGGACGTTGTGGTGGTATTTTCTGAAGATTAATTGTTTCTTTTC